TGAAAATCCTTTAGTCTAGCTTTCAGTCAAGCTAATGCTTCTTTTGTCCAACCCTCAATGCCAAACTCAAGCTACAATGGATATCCGGACAGGACAAGTGACTATACTGCTGCCTAAGTTTTTTCTAGGATTCTTCTCATTATATTTATGATGGAAATAAATAAGGATAGAAACACCAGAATTATTCTAAAACATGTTCTTATTTCTAAGAAGAGAAAGGTAAAGTTCCCTTTCCTCTTGAAAGGTGTTTACAAATGCATGGTAAAAGGCTTTCAAGTAAGGTATTTGGATGTTTAAATGACCGATGCCTGTTACAGCTTATGGGAGGTTTTTTTTATAAAACTCCTTCAAATCTTTTCTTCGATCATTGCTGATGTTTAAAGTTTATATTATTGTCTGGTGATCTAGATTTACTTCGTACTTTTGCTAAAGTAGATTAAATGGAATCTTGTCGACACTCTTCTTTCTCTTTAGTGACATAAGAGCTTATGTCTTTTTGCATTAGATTCTTCACAATCTAAGGGAGTGGTTCCTTTGTCACATGGGGCTTCAACTTTTCCTTTTGCAAAGTCCTTTTTGTAACAGAAATCGTAATGATTGTCATGCTTTAACAGTTTGCATAGTCTATTATGGACTACTTTACTGGTTAGGACCAGAGTTTCAAAATTTTCCTTTCTTTTCTACTTTAAACAAGTTGATGCTTGTCATTAATCTTGCTCTAGTGGATACTACTAAGATTTCATTGAAGAAGCCGTATGTCTATGTCTTCTTCATCTTTATCATTTTGTCAAAGGTCTGGAGTAAAACCTTGAATCCTAGAGCTCGTCTTTCTTGGATTAACTTGATCCCATAAAAAGACTCTTCAAAGTCTTGAAAATTTTGATCTTCATTTGCTTCTACCTTGATCTTCTTGGATTGAATTCCAATTTGAACTATTAGATGATTAGGGAAAATTTGAGATTTCTCCCATTCTAGTGCCGTAGAGTAGATTTTGACAAATACTACTCCTTGAGCTTTGTTGCCAGTCTTGAAGTCTGTCATTCCTTGGCATATAACTTTTGGAAGTTTTGAAACTTCTTCATTATTTTTTCAGAGATAAATACAGTTTATAAACCATAATTGAGTAATTCCTTTATGGCTTTTAGGTTTACACCCTACATGAAATTAATTTTGAGATAAATCCCTTCATAGATAGGATGGCAATTCTCAGTGGACCTCATTAAATATGTCATTTTACAAACTCTTTGGTATTCCTACAGATATTCTTCACTCATTATCATTTTTGACAAGGTGTCTATTATTGCAACTTTGTTTTCTTTCTTTCTTGAGTAATCATGTCGAAAGTTATGGTTTTCAGCATTTTGAATAATCGACTTTTCAGCTTGAGATACTGATATTTCTGAGGGAGAGTATTTGACATAATAGTCAAACTTCCTTGAATTTTCTCCGAGTAACCCTATTAAAGGATCACCTAGTTCAAAATTTTCTTTTAGGTCTTATTGGGAGCTTTTCTTTGCCATATGGCTAGATTTTTTTGATCTAATTCCAACAGTAGTAATTATTCTGGAATTCATTAATTTTTCTATCAACTGTTTGCCTTCTTCAAGAGCATCTTGTCCCTTATTCCATAACTCATGGCCTTGAATAATTTTTTCTTGGCCTTCATCTATGAGGTTATGGCCCTCATCCATTATCTCTTAGCCTTCAATCATTTTTTCTTAGCCTTCTTTATTTGGCTCTTACCTTCAATGGGTTTCTTTTGACCTTCAAAAATAAGGCCTTTTCCTTTATTTTGGAGTTTCAGGATCTTATCCATTAGGTCATTCTCTGCTCAAGAAATCTGCAAGACAATTATTAGTTCCTTTGACATGTTCAATTTCAAAATCATATTTAGCAAAGAAAGTTTGTCATACATTTAATCTTTTATATTCTAGTGCTAAAGGTAGTTTATTAAAAATAAATCCTTTAACTTGAGTATTGTCAGTTTTAACCTTAGAATGTTTTAGTAATAAGAAAAAATTGAACTTTTTATTCCATTTTTAATAGCCAATAACTCTTTATGATTTGAATGATATGTAGTTTCTACATCTTTAAATATACCACTAGCATATCTAGAAACTTTTTTTTGAGATTTTTTCAAAACTACTCCCCAGTAAAAATCTAAGGCATCACATTCTAAAATTAACACTTCATCTACTTTAAGCAATTGTAGCCTAGGAAGGTTTTTGCCATATTCTTTTATTCTTTTCAAATGATTAGTGTGATAAATTTCCCATTGTTGATTTTCTTTTTTTCTAAGCAATTTTTGGAAAAGATGTCTTAATTGAGTTAGGTTTTGAATAAACTGCTTTGCATGATTTAGTATTCCCAAAAACCTTTGAATCTGTTCTTTAGATTCTAATTTATTTGGGAACATCGAAATCTTCTCACTTATGTGAGCCTATATTTCTATTCTTGTGGAATCTATTGTTAATCCAAGGAATTCAATTTTGGTTTTTTCTATCTCTGCTTTATTTTCAAAAAGTAATATTCCATGTTTCTTCCATAAGTATGCAAATTTCTTAAGATATATTTGAATGTTCTTCCTCATTATCAGAGAAGATTAGTATATCATCTATATATACTATGTAAAATCTTCTAATGGATGAAAATACATTATATATTCTTCTTTGAAATATTTGAGGTGCATTTTTTAATTCAAAAAGGCATTACCAGCCATTCATAGTGTCCCATAAGAGCACGAAAAGTAGTTAACGAAATACTTTTATGAGTTAACTTAATCTACCAAAATCCTAATCTGCAATCAAACTTTGAATATATTCTTTTTTCTCTAATATTATTCATTAGAGTTTCCTTATGTGGTAAAAAGTAACCATCAAATTTAATTTTACTATTAAGTTGTTTGTAGTTAACAACCATTCTAGCTTTTCCTCTTTTTATTTCATTATGATTTCTTACCATAAAGGTAAGGCTATTACGAGGACTCTTGGAGGCCTATATAATCTTTTGAACTATTAATTCTTGAATTTTCTTCTCGAATTCTTCTTTATCTTTAGGACTATACCTCATTGGTTTGACTTTGATGATAGTTTTTGGATCTATCAATTCAATAGTGGCACAGGTTTTATTAACTTCCCATAATTTTGTAGGGTCTTTTCCATAGTTGCTTATTAATTCTTTTGAAATAGATTCTAGGGTTACTTTTTCTTGTGTTTTTTCATTATTAATGCTAACACTGGTTTTCTAATCTCTTTTGAATGAGTTTTTCTATTGTCCACACCACATTGGCTGCAAAAAATTAATGGCTATATTGCTCTAGTATAAGCATTATAAATTCTAGGGGCATAAAACCAATGTCCACAAGGTATATAAAATTTCACATGTGATGTAGTTTGATCATACTGCTTAAATTGGCTTAGGAAATTGTTTGCTAATAGAATATCATTCCCATGTTCATTACTCTCGTAAAGTCAGGGAATTATAACTTCAGTTCCACCAATTACAATGATAACTCTTTCTATTATTATTTGATATTAAATAATACTTTCATCTATGGTTACACCATTCATTGTTTGAGAGGCTTTCTTCCAATAATACTTTGGGAATACATTGATTTTTGCCAAACATATCCCGATCCTGTATCTATAAAAGCATGAAAGAATTCTGGTTTGTATTCTTCATACTTGATTCCAATGGATATGTATACACTATAAATACTAGTTTTCATAGTATTTAGGTATAACTACTTCTTTTCCACTTAAAATAATCTTTAGACAGTGTTCTTGGATATTATAAGGTGGTACTGATGTTAAGAAAGTATTTCTTAGCATCAATTCTTTACTTGTAGTCATTTCTGTTTTAATGTGAGCTGTTATAGCTATTTCATGTTGTATCTTATTCTTGTCCTCTATTCTAAAATGTACTTTAGCATATTCATGTACTATGGTCATTGCACCATTAAAGTTATAATATGTGTATGACTTAATGAGTTCAAATCTTAGTAGGTGTGGGATCATATCGCTTTGGATATGTGTTACTCCCGCTCTTGTATCTATTAGGATAGAAATGTTATGCCATTCTTTCCCATCATAATAATCTTCTTTTATTTTCAAATGTCTAGAAGGGATCTTTATGGTATCTAACACTACTTCATGTTTTATACTAGTTGTAATGGGTAAGACTTCTTTATTTTTCTTAGGGTGGTTTAAAGCTCCTAAGTCTATATTATTTTTATGGCTTGGTTTCAGGCTCTATTTTGACTAATAGTCTTCCTGACTATATGCCATTAATCTAGGTTTTTTCTCTTTCTTCTATTAGGAGTGGCTTTTCACTAATATCCATTTCCCATTTTCTAGGTAGTTCTATTTCATTGATCATTTAAGGTTTTTGAATTTTTCCTATTTTAGAGAACATAGGATCTAATTCAATATATTCTTTGTTTTTAAGAAGATTAAACTGATGACTATTGGTTAATGCGTAACTTATCATATGGTAAATACTATGTGGCATTGATCCATCTTTCATAAAATTTTCTTTGGCACATTCATGTGCTAGGCTTAGTGTCTTATTGATATTTCTATCATTAATATTTATGGCATACTTTGGATATACTATGAACATGAGTTTTTGGTAGCTAAGATTACTTTGTACTAATCCTCGGATAGCATCGTTTTTATCACTAATTCTATTATCTATTAAAGCTAGCTTTATTGGAGTGTCAATACCTTCTCTAAAATGAGCTTTAATAAGGATTTGAATTCCTCCTAATATGGATAATCCTATTTTTGATCTATCAAATTCTTTGATTTTTGACAATTTACTTTCTATTTCTGCCTTGATGAGCATATGTACATTTATTATTCTTGTTGTATTCTTGATAGAAATGCTATATTCTTTAGTAAATATTCTATAATAAACTATATCTTTCCTCTTAAAAGGATTACTTGTAAAGGAATTTGACTTGAATCCCTTTTCTAACGCAAGATCCATTCCTTTTTGTCTAATTTTTTTCTATTTACTTTTATCGAATACAGTTACTTGGCTATATTCTCCATATCCTTCATATTCTTCAGAATAAGCTTCTCCGTTCTCAATATTCAAATTCATTGTTGTTGGAAGTGTCTAAACTTTTCCCTTCATATATACTTTCATCACTATTTATAGAGCTAATCTCTATTTCGCTTAATTTTTCTTCATAAATCTTTAAATTTTTAGTACTTTCTCTTTTGTATCTTTTAGGACATTCATTTGCATAGTGTTTTTCTTCTTTACATAACCAACATGTGTATTTCTTAGGATTCTTTTTATTTTTTCTTGGTGTTTTTGTTTTCTTAAAATACCTTCTTTTCTTTCTAGAAAATTTATTCTTATTAAACCTTTGTTTATTACTTTTCTTAATTTTAAATCTTTTGTTTCTCTTCTTATAGTTTGAATAACTACATCCTAGCTTGATTGGATCACTATTTTTAGCACAACATTACCCCTTTCTCATACTTTTTCTTAATTTGTTATAGCTATAGGTTTCTAAACACCACTCATTTATTTTGGTTTTAGCTAACCAAATTCTTGGACCTGATGTACCTGTTTTGTCTTCTACATATATTTTATAGGCTTCTACTAGCTTTATTCCCCAAGGATTAAGGATTTTTTCAAAAAATAATTCTCTTAATCCTTTAGCCATTTCATGGTTTGAAGCTTTATAACAACACTTTTGGAATAAACAAATATATTGATCTAATTCGCAAAGATTACATAATTTTAGGTTTTGCAGAATCCATATTGCTATTCTACCAGCTCTAGCTTCTTTCTTCTCTTGATTTTCTTTCCAATTTTCTCCTAAAAATTCTTTTCTTATAAATTATTCAAACCTAATTATTATATCTTGAATTAATTCATTTTCATTTACTTCTTCTGAAGTAGGATTTCCACTTATGATAATGTTACTTTCTTCTTCATTTAGACTTGCAAACTCGTCATGAATTATTCCTCTAAAGGTGACTTCAATAAATCTAATTGTTTGCAAAGCACTGCAATTTTTGTTGGCTATGGCTATCCAAATGGCTTGAGCCCAATCACTATTGACATTTTTTAGATCGGTAACACTGTCTAGATCTAACCAAATGCCATTAGTACTAATAATTTGTTTTTTGATTCTTACTGGGGTTTCAAGTCTAGATTGATTTCCAAATTTCTTTCCATCATATAATATTTCATGTATCTTATTTCTATTTTTCTTGTAACTTTGAGTAATGCTAGATTCTATTCCTTGTTGCATTGGGAATTCTATTGGAGTTATATTAGGAGATTTTTCATCCTTTTCTTCTTCACTTTCTTCTTCAATTTCCTTTCCTTCTCTCTAAGTATTCATTTTCATATTTTCTAATTGTTTAGTAGTTTTGTAATTTGTTCGCACAAATTATCTAATTCTTTTACATTTTCTTCTTTTAAGAATCTTTGTTCTAACTCTTTTAATTTTTCTTCTTAAGTTTTTAACATAAAAAGTGTTATTCCTTTTGATGTAGGTTTTTCCATGAAAATCTTTGGGATTATTTTAAATCCTTCATTTCTATGTAAAATGTTTCGTCTATTACAGACTAATATTATAGTATCTTGTAAGTCCTTAAGTTGAGTTTGGATCTTGCAGAAATTCTTCTCTATATCACTTTTCAGTTAAGGGATTATTCTATTATACATCTTAAGTTTTTATAGCAAATTTTTCAATGATTGCTTTTAGTAACTTAAAATTTTTTTCTATTTTGATTTCTATCTTTCTAACTCGAGATATTAGAGTCTTTGAGTCTTTACTAGACCTCATTTCTTCTTTTATTTCTTTTAAATCTATAGAACTTTTTAAATCATTTATTCTTTCTTTAATAGAATCAAACTCTTAAAAAGAGATTTTCTCATTTTTTTTAATTCTTCTTAAAGTATTTTCATTAATTGTTTCTATTTCTAACATCTTATTAATGATAATTATATCTTCTATATCAATTACTCTTTTACCCACTGTGTTGCGTAAATTCATATTAATATGGTTTATTTGTTCATTATTCATGCTAATAGAAGTGTATTAATGATATTTCTTAGTGTATTAATAGTATTTCTTAATGTATTTATTCTCTCTTTTCGTTCTTATTTGGTAGTTAATAGTTCTTACTTTTATTGTATCTTTAAGACTTACCCCTAAAGTTTCCTGTTCTCAATTTACTAAGTTTTTCTCTTCAAATTAAACTAATTGCTTAATTTTATTACAAATTATAATCAATCTATCTTTATAAAGTATTTTTTGATTTATTATATTTTATTTAGTTATAATATTACTTTTTCAAAACTTAAAGAGTTGCTCTATTTTAATTTCAAGTTAATTTTTCTGTCATAACTAAAACAAATTTGTATAATAAATTATTCTGGAATATTCTCTAAAGTTTATATATCATTTAAAAAAACAATTTTTTAGATTAAAATTAAATTAAACTATAATTAATAGATTAATTATTGAATTAAGCCCAGCACTAATCCATGAAGCGCTCGAAACGAAAAACTGATGAAATGAAATGGTCAAAGACGCAAAATACAGTCGTCAGCAGTGAAAGCCACAAATCCATCGCACACTCTTGCATCGAAGAAGCAAATCTGAATCTTCTCGTTGCTTCTTCTGCTTCTTCTCCATTTTTTCTGTGGTTTTTCCTGATTTCTTTGGAGAATTTGTTCTCAGGTAACCCTTTCTCCATAAAACCCCTCAATAATCTGCTTGGCTGCCGGGAATATTTCGGTAGAAGTGAAAAGGGTCAAACTTGTTTGGTCTTCCTCCCCTCTTTTGTTCTCCTTTTCTGGCAGCCAAAAAACCTTGATTCTAATGTTTCTTTGACTCCTTTTTTTAATATGTTTGTCAGTAGTTGAAAATTTTATTGGGTTTTTCTTGGATTTTTGTGGCTGTTTTTATGTGTTGTGATCCAATACTTATGAATCGAGATTATTGCTTCAAAAACTTAAGTCTTCTGTTCTAACTCAGTTTTGTGGTAATCTTGTGTAGTTAACATGGATTTTGTTTTTGCTTAATTTAGTAGCAGGTTGTAGAGATTGGCTGGAGTTGGTTTGATTGTGGGTGAATCTGAAAAACTCAAGAGAGGAATGAGGGACTTTATTCTTGACTTTGAGCACATAGCTGAAGGTCTGTGTTTTTATCTCTTGGAGGCCTTGGATATTGTTGCTGAGCAAGTATTTGAAGGTTGCTTAGCACTCGTCTCGTTTGTTGAGGAGCACAAGGGGTATCTGTTTTGCTTAGTCAAGATTAATTAGATTCTTGATAAGACTAAATTCCATATAAGAAAGCTAATCTCAGGGAAATGGATGGTTTGTGGAAATGGAAAAAACAAGTGAAAAGTTGAAGAATTGAGTTTTTTTTTTTTTTTTTTTTTTTT